CTGTCAGGATCTGGGCCTGCTTATAAACGAGCAGAAATCAACTCTGACAGAGTTAGCAGATAGAGTTCATAGGATTGATCCTCAACTCTACACAGGCCAGAGCCTTTCTGACAGAGGCCCATTCCCAGACCATGTCAAGCTTGATCTCCCACATGAGACCACCCTCTCATGACTGCCCACGTGTGCCTCAAGCTGTTGGGCAATATGGCAACTTATACTTATGTGGTCCAGCATGTGCAGCTCCATCTCAGACCCCTATAGGCGTGTCTGGTGTTGGTCTACCTTCCCAACATACACTAGCTCGGGTGATCATGGTACCGGTTGTCCCTGGATGGACCCCAGCTCGGTATTGGAAGGAGTTCCCTTAGGTGATTTTGGTCTCCGATGCTTCAGACCTGGTTTGGGGAGCTCGCCTCTGCACGCAAGGTCGCTGGTCGCAGGAGGATAGCTCTCTACACATATACATCAGGGAGCTCAAGGCGATACTCTTGGCCTGTCATGCATTCCTCCTCCACCTGATGGGCAAGGTGGTTCAAATCCTAAACAGACAATACCTCGGCAATGTTCTATATCAACAAGTAAGGCGGAGCTCGCTTATCAGCCCTTTGCCAAGAGGCTCTCTGGTTATGGGGCTTCTGTGTGCAGCATGCCATTCATCTGGTGGCCTTGCACCTCCCAGGGGCCAGGAATATGCTAGCAGATTACCTCACCAGGACCTTCTCGTCTCACTGCGAGAGGTCACTTTACCCGGAAGTGGACAGCGTGATCTTCCAGAGGTCGGGGAATTCCCCAGGTGGACCTGTTCGTGTCTAGACAGAACAGGAAGTGCCTCAATTCGTGGGCTCAACAGAGGCTCCCTTTCCAATGCATTCTTACTCCCGTGGTCAGGGGCACTACCGTATGCCTTCCCACCAGTACTGCTGGTTCAGAATCCTTGTGAAGATCAAGTGGGACAAGACGAAGGTAATCCTGCCAGCCCTGGTTTGGGAAGCTGTTGGCGCACTCGGTAGTGGAACCTACAGAACTACCACTCTGGCTGGACTTACTCTCCCAGAACCATGGCCGACTGCTGTACCTTAACCTCGCAATCCTGCACCTGACGGTATGGCTGCTGCATGGCTAAATGCAGAAGAGCAAGCATGCCCAGTACAAGTTTAGCAGGTCCTGATGGGTAGCAGAAAACCCTCTACCAAGGCGACCTACCTAGCCAAAAGTAACAGAGTCTTGTGGCACCTTATAGACTAACAAATGTATTGGAGCATAAGCTTTCATGGGTGAATACCCACTTCATCAGGGACATCTGGGGGCGATCTGGATAGTAATCCCCTCTGTATCCCCTGTCGGCTGTCCTGACTGCTGCTGCTGATACACTACCTCCGAATGGCCTTATTCAAAAAAGCAAAGGGCAGACCAGCAAGAGACACTGTGAAGTTAATTATCATAATGCCTCCCCTGCCCCCCAATGTAGGCAAGCCCTAAGAGAGGTTTTCGCCAAATCCTCAAGTTACTGTCCTTGCCCCAGTCTACTTACCTAGACAATGTACTCCTGACATGACCACAACTTCCCTTACTCCTCCTCATCCTCAGAGGAATGTAGTCCTCCCCCGTGCATGCCCCATCATCTCCATGGTTAGTGCACTGGAAGTCTGGAAGGGAGTCCAGGAATTAATCCCTTAGGAATGCCATAAAGTCTTCTAGTTTGCACAGGGAACAGCCTGGCTGATACCTGCCCATGTGCCCTCCTCTTCACTACCCCTATCAACCATTACCTTCTTGGAGTGGGAATCCATATTCAGGAAAAAGCCTGCATCCTCCACAATCTGAAGGGCCAGATCTCCTTCACTAGGGGGCAAATACAACCTTCCTAAACTTCTTGCTTGATTAAGCCCCAACTAATGGAAGGTGAAAATGATCACTCCCCCGAACAGAAACATGCAGGACCACCTCCCATTTTATATTCTTCTCTCGATGAGGCTCACTGCAACTTCAATGGACTTCCAAGACCTCATGAAGACAATACTGGAAATGCTGGATATCCCTATTATACAGGAGACCAGACTAAATGATCACAATAGTGCCTTCTTGCCTTGGAATCTATGAATCTATAAATCCCACTGGAGCTCATCCAGGAGAAGCAGCATAATCTTCTCAACATCCTCCAGACTGAGACTCCAGGGAAACTGGTGATATCCACAAATCAGAGGCTTCTCACGTGTGCCATGACAATCTGGCACGTGCCAGCTTCAATTCCCGCTACTTCCAAGAGCACTGAACCTCCCTATCAAGTGCCTTCAAGTATCAGTATCCTGCGCCGGGCTCCCTTGTGGTTCAAGCAAAATCCATAGATCAGGGTCTTCCAAAGTCCACCCTTTGCACAAAGAACCCAAAAAAGTTAGAACTTTTTGTCTTGAAGGTTTACTTGTTGATGAGCCTGCAAATGAGAGTACCCAGCTACCAATTTCTACTCTCAAAATGTGACTTTTTAATCTGAAAAAGGCTCTCCAACTTTGTGGACAAACTGCCAGAAGAATACCGGGAGATGAAATCCCTCATGTTCTAAGGTCAACTCATGACCAGAACATCACTTGAAGCTGCACTAACATCTAATGCAGCACTGAGAATGATGACCATTCCCTTTACTATGAGGAGGTCATCCTGGCTGCAGGCATCTGGGATTTTGAAGGAGTTTCAGGTGCCCATTGGGGACCTCCAGTTTTGAGAGCAATGAGCTATTCAACAGTAGTATGGAGGAAATGCTCTATACATTTAAAGATTCGCAAGTGACCTTGCAATCTTTGGGACTGTACATTCTAGCGCTGAAGCCACAGAGCCAAATACCTCACCAAATATTACTCTCAGCAAAGATATTCAAAGCCTCCCAAGGAAGAGAGAGATTTCTGGAACCAATCCTCTCCTGCTTCCCCAGCCACTTCACTGCCTGGAGTGTCAAACAGGCAACAAATTTGATGTCTGCACTGAAGGCCTGACTTGACCATTTCAACCACTTATCTTACTTATAAGATGCCTGGGCTAGGATGACTGGTTGGTCCTCAAGGTAATAAGCCAGGGATATCTCATCCGGTTTCAAGTGGTTCTAACCCCTTTTCTGGGACCCTTCTCATGAGGCACCATTGAAGCAGGAGTTACCTAGAAAAGATTCCTCTGGTCTTATTAGACTTTATTCACTAAGGCTCGGGCAGCCTCTGCTATCTGGATAACATTTTACATACCTTAGAGCATGCAGAGATGTATGTAGATCAGCAGTGTGGAGTTAAGTCCACAGACTTGCCACTTGTTCCCTCGTGCAAGCTTCCAGATTGGAGGATAATTTTGATAGGGCTGTCCTGCAGTCACTCTTCAAGTAGCACGCCTCTTACCCATCTCCAAGCAATTAGGCAACTGTTTGTCCATAGAGTCCATTCTTGGTGATTAACAATCACTTGGAGAGAATGCTTACCTATCTTACAGTAACTATAGTCCTGTCAGATGTGTTATCCACAAGGAGTCCATGGCTTGCTCTCCTTCCCCACTGATTTGGAGTTCTGCTACTGTAGGATTCTTTATTGGCAAAGGTGGTGGTTGAAGTTGTCTTTGAGGAACGAGAGGGAAGCCAAGGGACAGGTGCAGCCACAAATGGATTGCTTTTAAAAAAGAATCCAGTATTGATGCACATGAGGAACACGTGCATCAAAAGTTGAAGCTGCAGACAACACATCTCAAACCGCAGTTATTGTAAGGTAAGTAACTATTCGTTCTATTTTACTAGGAATGTAAATAAGAATTCAAGGACTGTGATAGCAAGCATCACACATTTCCTTTTTGTAAGAGAAGTATTAACTACTAATTTACTCCAATCTTCAGTATATCCCTGTATCTTCATGAGTTTTGAAAACTCGTCAGTGGGAGACCAGATTTTTGAGTGTGCTCAAGTTGTCTAACTATTTTCCTTTCCTGCTCTTCTTCCTCCACAGTTATTTTATGGGGCCTTCCTTACTAGCTAATTATAATTCCATTATTTTTTTCTTAAAATGGATTTTAAATAAAAAGTCCAGTAATCTAACCATTTGTCTCCTCTACAGATCCACACTCCTCATCCCACCTGCTTGCTTGTCTTTGAATTTTCAAGCACTTTGTCTTACAACAGAGAACGGGTTTATATGTGTAACTGTAGATGGAAGTTAGACTGATACTATAGTGTACCTGCACTGCTAAACCAGATGACTCTCTAGTTCCAAGCAACCTTCCTAATTTGAATGTTTCACAGACTGTGATTAATGTGCTAGATATCCGGATCCTTAAGAGTGCCTACAAGAATGTATAAGCAAGACCATAGCTGGTATGGTAACTTGGGTAGTAATGTTGGGCGTTTATATTCAGTAAGGGGGAGGGATAGCTCAGTGGTTTGAGCATTGGCCTGCTAAACCCAGGGTTGTGAGTTCAATCCTTGAGGGGGCCATTTAGGGATATGGGGCAAAAATCTGTCTGGGGATTGGTCCTGCTTTGAGCAGCGGGTTGGACTAGATGACCTCCTGAGGTCCCTTCCAACCCTGATATTCTATGATTCTACTGAACCAATGCCCCAGCATAGTTAGATGACATTTTATTGAGAAACATGCAAATGAGGCTTACAACCTATTGTGGCTATTAAAGATCCCATGGCACTTTCTGCAAGAGTTCACACTTTTAAATAAAAAGAATTTAACTACCAAATTCTCCCTACATTTTCAGTTAAGGAGCTCTTCCTCACATCTTGTTCTAAACTATTGTGTGGTTGTATGTACTGTTACCCGGTGGGTAATATGATCTCTCTGCCATAGCTTTTTAATCAGGTTGCAAACTACTGTGGGATGCTTTTGTATGGAAAGGCAATATATAGATAAGTGGCTTTGTATTCACTGAATTTTAAGAATAGCCTGAGATTTCCCGTCATTAAAAGCGGTACAGAGAATGCTTATGTTCAGTTTTGGATCCTCTTAACTCTTGAGCCCTCTCATTTCTAGGTGGTATTATGTTTTGACCGTGTCTTCTGGGATCCAAGTGTCAATTTGTTCGGTCATGTTGGCAGCACTACTGCCAGCAGAGGAGAACTTTTTCTATTCTGGAATCTCTACAAAGGTAAATGTATTGGGTGTTCAGTTTTATTGTCATTTTCTTTTTCACAGTAACAGAACTAGAAAAAGCCATTTGATGATGATCATAATAAAGCTTATAGTGCTTTTCATCAGTAGATTTTAGAAGAAAGTATCAATACCTCCATTTTAAAGATGGACAAACTAAGGCAGAGAGAAGTAGTGACTTGCCAAAAGTCAAACAGGTCAGTGGCAGAGCTGGAAATAGAGTTCAGGTTCTTCTTTGAGTGCTGGTCCCTGTGTGTATTCATAATCTCAATGCGCCTGAGACCAGAAAATTCTAGCAAGTAGTGTCTGTAGGTCTATGCCAGCATCCCTGCTCTCCTTGTGGTCTGTGCCAAGGGCATAAGGGGTGAAACAGACTGATGCTTCTTCAGTTCCTCCTTACTGCTGAATTTGAGATAGTAGTTAGTAAGAATCCCCACCCTTCCTCAAGTACTGCAGAAGATTCATCAGGACAGAACATGAGTCATTCTCACCCTGCTCAAATGGCCCAAGCAGTTCTAGTTCCCAAGCCTCCCACGTACATCCTGGCGGCTCATCAGCATTCATTCCCCGGTGCGGGACTTAAATTATGCCCAGGCTTTAAGAATTGCTTCTCATGCCCCTACTCCTTTTCGGCCAGTGATGACCACTAGTGTGCCTCTGCTACCACAGAGAAGCTCATATCTCTGCTAAGTGCAGTACTGGCTGCTCTTTTCCCAGCTGAACATATCAGGCACAAGAACTCCACCTTTGGAAGCACCTAATGGAACATGCCATGAGGCCCCAGTCAGATCCAGGCCAGGTCCTCTGAATATTGACCTGAGACAGAGGAGAGCACCTCCTAGCTCGATGTCTGACTCAGGAATGGAAATGACTAGAGCGAAGGACCCTTTGGCTGGGCCTTCTCACGAGTAAAAGACGCTCTCATAGGCCTGAAAATAGATTCCCTCCTATATTTAAGAGAAGGGATCCTTAAGTAACTCCACCCAGGTAGGGTGAGTCCTTGCACCCAGGACACAAGGATTTAGGTCTTCCTAAGCCTCGTAGCCATGATCAAAAGGCGCATAAGAGCACGGCTTCTTCAGTATTGCTTCCCGCATCATCATCGATTATGCTGCCAACTGAGCACAGGGAGCGAAAGATCATGAACCATCACTACCGAAGATGACCACATGGTCGGAGGCTCCTTCATGGGTGGTAGTGTCGGCCATGTAAGGAGCCACTGATTACCAAGAGTCCCTTTACACTGACTCTGGCAACGTGAGGCAACAAGCTACAGCCTTCAATATCCTACACCACTCCTGAGGATATCGCCATCTTCCTGGATCTGCAATCTCTCCTATTGTGAGGTACACCCTTCACCAGGTAGAAGTTCATCCTGATTTCATCCACTAGTTGTGGCTTCCCAACATAGATACTGATTCTACTGCCAATGGAACTGGACTCTCATTATCAAGATTGTCAGATGTGTACCAGTGGAACAATCTCTCTCTCCTCCCCCCCCCTCCCCCCCCCCAACCTGAGGTAGATCAGCCTAAATGAGCTCAGGAGTCTCCTCCTACCAGTTTCATCCATTCAAATGGAGACCCCCCCCTCCTCAGGACCAGTGGTACCCAAGTCTGTATCTTTAGTGATAAGATAAAATTTCACATGGTTACCTTGGCATCGATAATACCAGCACTAGAAAGACATGGTTCACAGTTCTCAATATGAAAGATGCATGCTTTCATGTTGATATTCACCCTTCCCACAGAAAGGTGTCTCTGCTTTGTCTCCCACTATCCTTGGGAATCTCTGTGAACGTGGAAAAGTCTTTTGGCTCAAACCTAGACTATAGATTTCATAAGAGCAACCTTAGACTCACTCAGGGCAAAGGCTTATCTCTCTATGGACAGATTCTAAGCCAGAAGCAGGCTGATAAATCAGATTATGAACGACCCATGGACATCGGTCTAGATTTGCCTTTCTCTCTTGGTTCACATGACATCATGTACTTACATAATGCCATTCGCTAGACTCTACAGCCGCTGCCAACAGGGTTGGCTGCACACAGTATATGTCCCAAGCAAATATAGCATGAATACTTTAGTGACAATCCCCATCAAGGTAAGAGTGTCTCTGAGCTGGTGGAAAGCTCGTGCACAAGTGTGCATGGGCATTCATTTCCTGTCCCCCACACCCAACAGGGCAGTAATCACAGGTGCCTCTTTTGATGGAGCCAACTCACATGGATGGTCACACAGCAGATGGTCACACTTGGATGCCCTTGGAAACCAGGATGCACGTAAATCTCCTGGAATTCAGAGCAGTCTGACAAGCGTGCCATTAATCTAATCTCATCAATCAGACAATATGATAACTGTAATCTACTTTAAAAACCAGGGAGGAGCGAGATCCATTCCCTTGTGTATAGAAGCAGTCAGTTTATGGAACTGGTATATAGAGAAACCACTTCACCCTATCAGAACCATACCTTCCAGGAGCCCAGATTTTGCTGGCAGACAGACTCAGCTAGCACTTTGCCACTGACTATGAGTGGAAGTTATACAGCTCAGGGTGAACAGCATTTTCTCTCAGTGGGGAACCCTTCCTCAGGACCTGTTCTCATTGCAGGCAAACAGGAAATGCAGCACATACTGTTCCAGGGGAGCTCGGGACCACTTTTTAGAGGTAACGCTCTCCTAGTCCCTTGGACAGACAGTTTGAACTATGCCTTTCCGCCTATCCTCCTGCTTTCTCGAGTACTGCAGAACATTCAACAGGACAGAGCATGAGCTATTCTTGTGCCCAAATGGCCCAGGCAGTTCTGGTTCCCAGGTCTCCTGCATATGTCAGGCAAGCTGTCCATCAGCATTCATCCCTTGATTCAAGAGAAAGGTGAGAGCATAGAATCATAGAATCATAGAATCATAGAATATCAGAGTTGGAAGGGACCTCAAGAGGTCATCTAGTCCAACCCCCTGCTCAAAGCAGGACCAATTCCCAGCTACA